GAACAGAGACCTAAGACAGTCGTGCAAAGCGAAAGGTACAAAGTACAAAGGCCCTGGGGCAGGAAGGGACCTGGCATATTCATGGAATGGCAGGAGCGCCAATGTGGCGTGAGGGCAGCGAGGGGCAAATGAAGTAAAGTGAACGTGTTGAGATAATTAGACAGAAATTGGCATAGGAGCCAGCAAGTAGGGCCCTGTAGGTCATGGAGTTTGAACCTGGAGTGATTTCAGTGGGAACAAGACATGATCTGATTTACATTTTTAAAAGATGACTCTGACTACAACATGGAGAATGGACCACTGGGAGGCAATCAATGAGCACAGAGAGACCAGTTAGGAGATGTTTGCTTGTCTAGTGGGGAAAAGATGGTGCCTTGGACAGTGATGCTAGAAAGAAGTGGTTGAACAAGGACATACCATGAAGACAGAAAATGTAGGAAAGGGTGAGGAAGAGGAACAATTATGGTGATTACTAGGTTTGTGGCTTGAACAGTCTGGTAGGTGGGAAAGAAAATATGGGAGAGAAGTTTCGGCATACAGATCCTGCATGTTTCATTAGATATATACATAATTATTTCATTTGGGGGGAGGGCTACTAAATTTTTTTTAATTTTAATTGTTCCTTGCTAATATACAGAAATACAATTAATTTTTTGCATTTTGACTTTGCATTATTTTATCTTACTAAACTCAGTTATTTGTTCTAGGTGTTTTTAAAAATATTTAGATTCCTTGGGATTTTTCTATGTAGGTAATCATGTCACCTATGAAGACGGTTAGTTCTATTTCTTCCTTTCCCGTCTGTATTATTTTTATTTCTTTTTCTTCTTACTGCACTGGCTAGGACTTTCAGGAGTGGTTCTTGATCTTAGGGGCAGAGCAGTCTTTTACCATTAAGTATGATGTTTGCTGTAGGTTTTTTGTAGATGCCCTATATCAGATTGAAAAAGTCCCCTTCTAAGTTTGCTGAAAATTTTTATCATGAGTAGATGCTGAATTTTATCAAATGCTTTATCAATTGACATGACCATGTAGTTTTTCTTCTTTAGACAGTTAATAGGGTAGATTACACTGATTGATTTTTGAATGTTGAACCAGCCTTCCATTCCCAGAATAAAGCCTACTTGGGCACCAAGTTTGGGAAGTTTAAGCCATTATTTTTTCAAACATTTCTTCTGTACCGCACTCTTTCTCTCCTTCTGGGACTCCAATGACACAGATAGTAAACCTTCCAGTATTGTCCCATAACCCACTGAGACTTCATTCAGCTTCTTTAATCTTTTCTCTTCGTTGTTCAGATTGGATAGTTTCTATTGCTTTATTTTCGAGTTTACTGATTCTTTCCTCTGTCATCTCCATTTTGTGATTGAGCCCATGCAGCAGAGTTTTTTAATTTTCCATTATCTTGTCTTTTTTCTTGTATCTCCATTTGGTTTATATATACATATTTGGTTCATGGGGTTATTTTTTTGGCTAACACTTTCTATCTTTCCATTCATGTCAACAATGTTTACCCTTACTTTTGGGGGCATTTTTTTTTTTAACAGTTTACTTACTAGATTACCAGTTTGTTATGAAAGGATTCAACTCAGCAACAGCCAGATGGAAGAGGTGGGGAAAGGGGGCCAGGAGCTTTTTTATAAAAGCTACTTTAAAGTCTGTCAGATTATTACAACATCTGTGTCATCTCAGCATCGGCATCTATTTATTTATTTATTTATTTATTTATTTATTTATGGCTGTGTTGGGTCCTCATTGCTGCACACGAGCTTTCTCTAGTTATGGCAAGCAGGGATTACTCTTCATTGCGGTGCACAGGCTTCTCATTGCGGTGGCTTCTCTCGTTGCAAAGCACAGGCTCTAGGTGCGTGGGCTTCAGTAGCTGTGACACGTGAGCTCAGTAGTTGTGGCTTGGGGGCTCTAGAGTGCAGGCTCAGTAGTTGTGATGCACGGGATTAGTTGTTCTATGGCATGTGGGATCTTCCTGGACCAGGGCTCAAACCCGTGTCCCCTGCACTAGCAGGCGGATTCTTAACCACTGTGCCACCAAGGAAGCCCTGGCATCGGCATCTTCTGATTGCCTCTCCCAGGCAAGTTGAGATTTTCCTAGTTCTTCATGTGATAATTAATTTTAGATTGTATCCTCTATATTTTGAATATTATGTCATGAAACTTTAGGTCTTATTTAAATTCAGTGGAGAATGTTGATATTTTTGTTTTACCAGACAATCAAGCAGGTTGGATTTAGTTGGCAAGTTCTGACCAGCCTTCTTCTGAATTGTGGTTTCAATGCCAGTTCCATTTTCAAAGCCTGTTCAGGTGTGTACCACCAAGTGTCCAGTCTGGGACTCAGGTGGTGGTCTACCCCTTAGTTCAGTTCTCAAAGTCTTTGGTGTGTTGGTTAGAATCAGATGCACATGTGCACAGCTCAGGGCTAGCCCTGAAGTTCATACACAACTTTATGGAGTCGTTTTCCTGAGCTCCTTCCTCTCTGCTCTCCTTGTACTTTCCAGTTCATTGGTTCTCCCCTTTTTGGTTCTCTGGCCAGAAATCTGGGGTTTTAGTTACACTTTCTGCCACACATTTCCTGAACTGTACCCAAATCTGGGACCAAGCAGCAGGAAGGCAGAGAGAGAAAAAAGCAACTGGATCTCACCCCACCCCCTTGGGATTACAGAGAGGAAGATTTGATCAAAGAAGATTTCCCTTTCTCAGTTTTAGGTGCTTGAAGGCCCCACTTCTGCTACTGGGCACTGCCACCACCACCACCGAGGGGACTGCTGGGGGAGTAGGGCATGAGAAAACAGAGAAAAACAACCCTCGGGATTTCCCATCCCTGTCTGAGCCTTAGAGCCCCTTTCCCAACCAGACTCTAGCCATAACTACAGGTCTTCTGGAATTCTCTCCATTTGTGCCCTTATGTCCACTCTGTTTGTGCCCGGATTTTGGGCTGTCTCGAGTCCAGGACATGGGATACCAGAGGAAAAATGAGAAATTCACTGCCAGGGTGGCAGTACTTCTAATTCTAGTTTTTCCCCCAATTTGTCTACTACTATTTATATTTCAGAGTCTTCAAATAGCTGCTAAATGCATTCTGTCCAGGCCTTTAGCTGCATTCAATGACAGAGATAGATTCTTACACATGTATCTTATACATATATCCTGGTATATATATGTATAAGTATCTATTTATGCAGGGAATATACCTAGGGGAGGAAATGCCAGGTCATGGGTATGTATATATTCAAATTTAGCTAGACACTACCATAGTTTTTTTCCAAAGTGGTTGTAATCAACTTACTCACTGACCAGTAGAGACTCAAAGTTTCCACCATATCACTTCCTCACCAACCTTGGAATATCAAGCTTCTCAAGCTTTCCTATTTTGGTAGATGTGCAGTGGTATCTCACTGAAATGCTAATTTGCATTTCCCTAGGTAGTAATACAATCGAACACCTTTTCATAGGGTTATTGGCCATTTGGATTCCTCTTTTGTGAAGTGCCTGTTGGGGTCCTTTGCCTTTTTCTATACTGGGTTATTTCTTTACTCACATTGATTTTTGTAGTTCTTTATTCTGGAAGCAAGCCCTTTGTTGGCTATTTGTGTTACAGATGTCTTTTTTCACTCCGCCTTTTCACTCTCTTAATGGTACCTTTTGATTAACAGAAGTTCTACTTTAATGTAATAAAATTGATCAGTTTTTTCCTATGTGAATGGATGCAACTTTGCATCTACTTAAAAACTCTTTCTAAAGGTCCATTCTGTCTTAAAGCAGCCTTTCCCATCTCAGCATTTCAATGCGGACACCTCAAGCATCAAAGTATGAGACAGCAAGATGACAAGGCAGACAGTGCAGGCTCTAGGGGTGGACAGATATGAGTGGCCCTGGACAGGCTACTTCAAGTCTTTGAGAATTAAGTTTCTTTATAATTAAAGATGTACTATCCATCTTGCAAGATGTGTGTAAAGCACTTAGCATAGTGTTGGCACACAGTAGGCCTTCAGCAAACAGTAGCAGCTGCGATCATATTCTCTGATCATCCTTCCCCTTGTCCACATTGCTACAGTGGCCTGAACCTCATTGCTGCTTTGTGAAACATTAATCTATTGCAGTTAAGGACAGCAAAATGGGTTAATTGCCCTCAACAGGCCAGCAAAGTCTCCCTGTTACTCACAGGCGGCACCTAAGGTACGAGAACCACCGTCTTCAGCTAAAAATTAAGACCTGATACATAGCGATGCTCTCCTCACGAGGTGAAGTCATTCTGGGGCTCCCACAGGGACACAATGGCGGCAAGCTGAAGAATCAAAGTATCTGCTCTTTCTGTTCACTGCCAACAGCACAGTGGTGTGGGGCAGGCAGACTGCCTCAGACAAGGGAAAGCTGAACTCCACTGAGCCTGGGTGATTTGTGTCAAAGCAGCGGGTGTGCCGATTTGTGTGTCCTGCACTGTTGACACAGGGAAGAGCAGGAGTACGTCGGCACATGTGCACGGTACAGTGCCCGTCCTGGAGGAGGTGTATATTTGAGTATACAGGGTGTGCATGTGAACACGCAACAGGGTGTATGTCCCTAGGAAGCTGTGATACTCTCACCAGCCTGGCATGCTGCTGGAGAGCCCTGATGGTTAGCTACTCCAGCGTGCCCAGAGCTTGGGGTCTCTCAACGCCCTCTGCCCCACTCTCTGAGACAGGATATGTGCACAGGAAACAGACACCTTTTCTATTACGCTGGACCACCCTGAATAAGCAAGGAGCATCAGCTGCAAACTCTGTGGTGCACAGTTCTAAAGCAACTGGAGAAATTCTTCTGGATGTTGTATCCCACTGCTGCCTCCTAGACAGTGGGTCCCTAGAAATGCTTCTTGAGATTTTCCCACAATACTGAGATATTCCACTGCCCTCCCCAGACACCCCCTCCCCCACCTCATTAGGCTGCACTTCAAATGTGGCCAGTGCTGAATGCTGAAAGGATGATAGAAGGGAAGGGAGTGGTACCTGAGCCTAGTGTTTGTCCAGCGGAGTCAAAGGAAAGAACCACTGAATCTGCAACACAAGAGGACAAGTTCATTTCTTTCTCTTTCTTACAGTAAAAACAAAACAAAACAAAAACAAAAAAACAAGTTCCCACTGGCTTTGCCCAAACCCTCTCCCAAGGAAAAATCAACTGGACTGGAACTCAGCTGCACAGACAGCCTCCATTGGTCCGTCTCACCCATCCACTGGGCCAGGAGGTCCTGCCGAGCCCAGCCCAAGCCTCGTGCCACTGGGAGGAACATCTCAGGGCAGAGATATGCCCCAAATTCTTCAGAGGCATTTCCTGCCAAATTAAGGGACACATTTACTTCTTTTTGCTTCTCATAGTGAAAATAAAATTAAAACAAAGCAAAAGAAAACTTCCCTCCTGCATCTGGTTGAAGGCACTAACATTTCCCTTTGACTTGTTTTCTTTTCCTATTCATATACTCAATGTTTATTATTTCTTCCCCCCAAAGGCATAAAGTGACTTACAGGAATTTACAGTACACACTGGAATTTTAAAAATGAAGAAGTCAAAGGAAGGAAAAATATTATATAGTCAGGGGAATGTTAGTGCACAAAATGCATGCCATGAGGACCTAAACAAACGCTACAGGTAGAATCAAAGAGGCCTGAGCTCCCAAACAGCTAAAGAAAATGAGAAAATAAACAAGATTGAGTGCTCACAATACATACATTCATTCATTTATTCAACTGTTCAGTAAATATTTATTGGGCATCTACTATGTGCAAGATACTATACTATGGCTTTGCGATCCAGATGCAAACAAAAAAACAGCATGGTCTCTACGCTCACGGATCTGTCATCAGTCTAAGAGAAAAAAAGTTACCCAACAAGTTATTCAACTAAAAACTGATTAAGTAAAAAAGAAAAGAGGGCTTCCCTGGTGGCGCAGTGGTTGAGAGTCTGCCTGCCGATGCAGGGGACGCGGGTTCGTGTCCCGGTCCGGGAAGATCCCACGTGCTGCGGAGCGGCTGGGCCCGTGAGCCATGGCCGCTGAGCCTGCGTGTCCGGAGACTGTGCTCCGCAACGG